ACAGCAGGGATGGGCAGTATTTCAAATACAAGTATTTGAAATACGAATTTCAAATACTTTGTGTATTTTGCAGTTGTATTTAATTACAAATTGGGTAATGTATTTGGCTTGTGTATTTAAATACTAAAACATGGGTATTTCAAATACAATTGTAATTAAATACAATTTTGTGAGCGAAAATACATCTTGTTTTTATGCATGTGGTTGTAAGATATAGTCTTCATCCTGTATTCGGCCATGGGGCTTTTTTTCTTTTTCCCCTCCGGCCTTATTTTAAAGGCACTGTCCAGAGCAGGAAGAAAACTACGTTCTGTACCAAATGCAGTGTCTCTCAATCAAGCAGAAGCGTTTAGTGACTTTGAGATTACGGTGCTAGTCCAGGTCAAGAATAGTGACGAAATCAACGTTCACAGGCAGACTGGCTAAACAAGTGCCTGTGACAACTTGTGATGCTTTCCAGTCTGATTTCCATCCATATTTTTGCCCGGAACATTTTAAACGCGTGGGTCGTCCAGATCTTCGTAACGTGTGCGAATTGCAACAATAAAAAATTCTCTAGCGAGTGCTACGCGTCTTGGTCGTCTCGGTTCTTTGTTGGTCTATACCAAAATGTAATCGACAAAAAAAAACTGCTTGAAGCTCTTTACTTTTTTCACCTATTATGTCCAAGCTGATTACATTTTTTTGTGATTATATTTCTATTACGTTACTAGAGCCTCGCACACTAACTCCCAAGTGTGCAATGCAAAATTAAAATGAGATACCCAGAAACCCGTTGCAGGTGCCTTGAAGTCGCTGACGCAAATTTTCAGGAATGTATTTGGAAAAGTATTCTGAGGAGACCAAATACATTTGGTTGTATTTGTATCTTGTAATTAAATGCTTTTTTGGAAATGTAATTGGATTTGTAATTAGATACATTTTTGACGAAGTATTTTGTATTTGTATTTCGATACATATTCGGATGTATTTTGCCCATCCCTGGACTACAGCATAGTGCACCTTTGAAGGAAGAATCCACATTTTGTGCAATGCCAATGCAGTCAATCGACTCTTGGTTTGTCCTAGATTCCCTCCCTAGCCCAGGAGTTTCTTCGGCTGTGATCCGTGTGTCTAGTTGCCTATCTTACTGTTTGTTATACAGTTGAATCTCGTTAATTCAAACTCTTAATTCTAACTTGCGGATAATTCAAACTAACATGCAGGTCCCATCCTACCGTAAAATACCGAAGAAACGCCCACCCTCATTTTATCGAAACACGTGTAAAGCCAACTATGGGCGCTTATTAGGGCACTTGATGTGTACTTGCCCAAATTTTCGAATTTCAAAAATGTTAATAGTGGGCGCTTGTACGGGTATGGGCGCTTCCTCGGTATTTTATGGTATGTGTCTCTATGGGAGGAAACTCTCGGTAATTCAAACTCTGCTTTGTTCAAACAAATGTTCGGTCCCCCGCGAGTTCAAATTAACGATATTCGACTGTATTAGTTTTCTCTGCATTTTTTAAGAACTATTTTAGGGTTAAATGAGTTGCCTGTTCTTTGTGGTTTTCATTGGCTTATGGCTTAATGCATGCTTGAGTCTGCTTGCTTCTTCTTTGCTTCTTTCTTTCTTCCCCTTGTTAAGGGGGTGGGTTTTGTGGTTATGCAACAGTGTTGTTCTTGTATCTGCAAAAATTCTAATAAAATAAACAATTTTTTTTATTTTTTGAGGAACCATGTTTTAAGGTTTACATAAATAAGCTATGCATTTTATGAAAATGCGACACTAGCAGATTGCATAGAACACGAAAGTTGGAGACTGGGGCACTGAAAATAACTGATGGCAAGGTAACTAGTATGCACATGAAAATAATTAAATTTTGTGGAAATAGTTTGCACATTTTGGTGGACCTAAACAAATGTTCTTTAAAATTGACCTTTTTATTTTTTCTAGGCCATGTCCTCGCTAAAGAAATAGCAAAAATGCACAGGAAGTGGCAGAGTTAGCGTGAACAAGCGAGTGACATTTTTTTTTTGTGTGTGCTTGTCTCAAAGCCAAAATGCTATTATCAGAGTTACAAGTGCTGTGGAATCTGCATGGGCACAAACTTAGGAGGTAAAATATCCTCAAAAATTTGTCTGAGTAAATGTGAAAAACAACCGATGTACTCTTGTGCCACCTGCTTCGTGAAGTGTACATGTAAGTGTAATTATGACCCGCTTGTCGTTGTTGCAGTCTATGAAATCCTAGATCCAAGCCCTAAGCCGAAGGTATCCAACACATGGGTTGCACGTGACGTCATTCAAAGAGCGCTCCGATGACCACCAGAGAAGAGGGGAAGAGGGAGCTCCCCTCTGGTCACAATCTTCTTTTGTGCCTCACGGATTTGCACAGACGTCGCTATTCTCCTCCCAGAAGATTATAGAAGATTAACCCGTCACTCGAACTTCTTACTAAAGCAGCTTCCCTCTCTTCTTACATGGTGGTAAAAAGTATGCAATGTGACGTCAGTGCAGCAACCCATGTTCCTTGTGGATGTCTGTTTGCTGCGGGCTCTGCTTACCCAATGTAGAGTCTGCTACAAGATGCGGAGGGAATAGCCAACAAATCCAGTCCAGGCCCTGGATTGGATTGGTGTGGATTGAGAGCTCAACACTAGGCTAGATCCAGTTATAGCTACTAGATTTAGTAACAAATTGGAAAGCCACAGATCCCAATCCAATCCAAGCCCTAAGCTGAAAGTATCCGAAAGTGTGCATCTGGCGGCCATGTTGCCATTCGGTTATTGACGTGTGTGTTTGAGCGTCGTGTTTTCATCGTGTTTCCTTTCCGGAAGTGGCCTCTTCCCCGACGATGTGGGCGGCAAGAAAGTGCTTGTTTAATCCGGACTGGACGAACCCAAATATTTCGGAATATGCAAGTTGGATTAAGCCCGTGCAAAATTATCCGCACTGTGCCCAATGCTCGATGCCTTGTGTTTTAAAGGCCTTATAAATTTAACTGCCTCTACAGTGGTCAGGAAAATTCAAGATAATAATTTGCTAGACTCCCTGTTATTTTACAGTGGTTGAAATGCTTGGGGGACATTATATAATGGCTACATAGTAATAATTATGATGTAACAATAATGATCAGAGTCCAAATGCAAACTACAGGCCCAAATGAAGCCAAAAAAAAAAGCACTAGGTGGCATCCCTTTTGCTGTAGCCTGGTCATGTCTGATTATTTATTTATCTATTGTTTCTTCGAGACCCAGAGGCACTGCAGATGGGGAGAGCAACACAGAAGTTAACGGTGTAAAAAATAAAAATTAGGCACACCTGACGAACAAAATGATTTCCTAAAAAGGCGTAGGGTCCGTGATGGTGGCTATTGAGCTGGGAAGCTGGTTTCAGTCTTGGGATGTACGGGGAACAAAAAGTGAGAGAGGAACTTGGAACCTTGTGCAGATGATCAAGACAAGAGGAAACATACGAAGAGCAGGTGACTTATTTGTAAGATTGGACAGAATGACGAACGATTTTATGAAATAAAGGGAGACGATAAAGTTTTTAGCACAGGGATAAGGGCAGCAATGATTAAGTAGCTTTTATGCAAATCACGCCAGCAGTGCAGCGGTTGTAAGTGAAAATAAAGTGAGTGGTTCCATTTTCATGAGAAAATGCTGTCACCTGACATGCTGTTAGCATTAGTGGAGATACGCCAAACATGGTTGTTCCAGGAGAGTTTGGAAGCCCTCTACTCATCAAGATATTTGTAAAAAGCTGCTGGCTGTAAACGAGCCTGCTTAAGAAAATATTAGGGCCGTTTATCTTTCAACTTCCGGTCACTCGAAAAAGCAAAGTGATAACAGAAGATACGCATGCATCTGCGCAGTAAAGTAGAATCTCACGGTGCCCCCTCCTTATACGATTGGTCTCTTCATTCATCAATGTTTGTCTAGCTTGTGTGTAGCTGTGACACATTCAGTTGACGTCGCTGCCAAGTGCCAGCATAGCACTGTATTTTGGTTTCTCCAAGCGGAAGAGAAAGATGCTGCCGAAATTTACAAGTCTGCACAATGTGTACGAAAAAAACTGCATGAGTGACAGTTTTGTGCAGGAATGGTGTCGGAAGTTTCGGGAGGGACAAACAGACATCCACAAGGAAAAGGGTCAGGGAAGGATCTCTGTGTAGATTGACAGTCTCTTCGAATGCCCGATGGAGGGGCTGATAACCCAGGCGGTAACCTTCTTTGAAAAGGCATCCGAAAGCTTGCTCAACGTCACAATAATTTACTTCATCTGTGCGGTGATTACTCAGAGTAGCTGCAGTATGTACTTAAATATTGCATATAATAAGACATTTTCTTTTACCCTTGCTTTCCTTACAAGTTCATAAAACGTTGAAGAAAACAGAAAAAAAAACAGCCCTTAAGTTGTAATATTCTAAGAGATATCCCACCTAAAATTTAGAGCAAATTGAATGAAAATAAAAAAAATAAGCTATCTTTTAACGTCTAATAAAAAAAAAAAGCTGAAAAAAATGTTACTTTTAGATTATATGATTTGCCAAACTTGTTATTTCAGCAAGGGGAAAAAGCAGCACTGTCCTTCCCAGTCAGCAATGTTCACTTATCTCCCACTGATGGCACCATTGGCCAGGGCGCTGCATTTACTAAAAGTGGGCTATCTTTCGGGGTTTTAAAAAGAAAAAACAAATCATGCCAAAAGGGGTAGGTTATTTTTCGAGGGTGAGACAACTTTTGGGATATTCTGGTAGTTAGATTTGGCAAAAAGTTGTCGAGACTCGGTTCTAGACTAGAGACTCGGTTCTAGACTAGAAGTAAGCACTGGTAGATAGTAGCACGGGCGTCGGGCCGGAATACGCGGGCAGTTGCTTCTCCCTTTCGGCACCGTGACAACAAAGGTAGGGAGAGGTCTAGATGAGGCCTAAGGCAGGAGAGTGGAAAGTACTGCGTCGACGCTTTGCCTTTGTCCTGAGCGGGCGATGACTTAGCGGGTGTCCCTCCGCCCAGAGCTTGCTGAGGAGTGGGTGGGCATCCAGCAGCCCGTGCTGGAGGGCATCACCTTCTACGCCAAGTACCTGGGCAGCACCCTGGTCGAGGAGCCCAGCGGGGACAAGGCCACGGCTGACGCCATCCGGGCTATCATCGGCATGGTGAGGGCCAATCTTCTGGGGAGTGCTCATCCCCCGTGGGACGTGTCCCTACTTCTATGCCTTGTTCCATCCTACCTTAGCACAGGGCAAATGCTATGGCACCTTCGAGCCAATTGGAGCAAGGAAGGCAAAGCGCGTGACAGCCCTTACGGAGAGTATGGGAAAGAAAACATAACCCAAGCAGGTGGAGAAGTGGGGAAGGAGGAGCCTCCCTCTTACCTGGACCTTTTTTGCAGCGACAGTTGTTATGGGCTCTTACCACCACTGAAAATGACGTCCGTTGTTGATGTCATAGTTGATGATGTCGTAGTTGTAGTTGTTGTCGTTGTTAAGGTTATAGTTGGCGTAGTAGGGCGTAGGGTGTCTGTCGTCGATGTTACTGAATCCTCGAAAAAGATCACGCATCTCCCGCGGGAATCGAACCTCGGTCCGCTGCGTGCAAAGTGGGGGCGTTACCACAGAACTACGCCATAGCGTTAACAGCCTGCTTTATACTTGAGGTTTTTGTAGTACTCTATGCCCACTGCACGCGCTCTCTGGAAAAAAAATAGCCGATGACAAAATGTTGTTGTAGTATTGTGTACGGCAAGAGCTCGTGCCGCACATTTTCTCGTGCTTCGGACCAAAATGGAAATGAAAGCGTTTGTAACGAAATGGTCAGATGTCTGTTTTGTTCCGTACGCTTTTGTTCACACACCCAAGGTGCGGGAACGCGACGTCAATGCCCAACGACTTCGCCGTGACGTTTCACAGCTGTCGCTGTGACTACCATAGATGAACGCAGGACTCCTGAATTTTTTTAGAGCGCAGCTCTTAGGCACCCGTTTTCAGCTTGAGTGGCGGCGGCGGCGGCATAACCAAGGTCACCCCAAGGTCACGTGACCCCCAGGTAATGTGACCCCCCCCCGAGGTCAGGTGACCCCTCCCAAGGTCACCCCAAGGTCACGTGACCCCCCGAGGTCACGTGACCCGCCCCCCGAAGTCACGTGACAACCCCCCTCCCCCCTGAGGTCACGTGACCCCCTCCCCCCAAGGTCAGGTGACCCCCCAGAGCATATTAAAGAATGAGGGGAGGAGGAGGAGGAGGAGGAGGAGGAGGAGGAGGAGGAGGAGGAGGAGGAGGAGGAGGAGGAGGATGGGTACTACCCTCCCCTCAGTACCCTTCCCTCCCCCTCCTCAAGAGCTGCGCTCCAATTCGGCGTTCACTTTTTTGTGTGTCCCACACATCATTTTTTTTTTCTATATGATTAGCATGTCATTTAAAGTTCATACAAAAGTGACTTTCCTCTCCCTTTTGCACGTGACTCTGACAGTACTGCACACAACTGATTGGACTGGTGCCCAGGCAACCTTCTCTCCAGCGTTCGTTCTGTTAAAGTGGATAGAAGTGGGAAACTCCTGTCACCGGCTATGCTGAGATAAAGTGCATACTTGTGTCTCCCTGTGACTTGCTGATTGGCTCTCTGGGACTGTAGCCCTCGCTGTCTTCCAAGTCACGGTGGGATGGAGTACATATAGGAAATCTTAGGGGTCTCTGTTGCGTATATGAAAAGAATTTGATGGTTTTCAGATTTTCGGGGTGTTTGAGCAGTCAAAGCGATGTGAGTCAAAAGCATGGTTTATTTAGTTAATTTTGAACTTCCTAAGCTTTTTTCTATGTTGCTGAATGTATTTGTATAACTGCGAAATAGAATAAATTAAAACAAGGCAGTTAGGCTAGTCATGCTACCTGGTGTCTGAAATAGTGTCCAAGCTGTTTAAATCAACCGCGAAAATCGGTTTCTTAACCTATCACATTACGATTTTGTGCAGTGTTGCCCACAGGTGGTGCATTTTTCTATAAAATTTGCAAAGATCGAACTTGCCCGAGGAAAAACTACAAAAAAGAAAAAGGCTTAACTGCTATGAAAGTGCAGCAATGCCACCAATCTTCAAACAGTAGGGCACCCTATGGTTTGAAGACCGGTGGCTTCACTGCGTTTTCATAGCAGTTAAGCATTTTTCTTTTTTTTTTTCCTTTTCCTCAGGTAAGCTTGATCTTTGTAAATTTTATAGAAAAAATGCACCACCTGTGGGCAACACTGCACGAAATCGTAACGTGATAGGTTAAGAAACCGTTTTTCGCGGTTGATTTAAAGAGCCTGGCCACTATTTGAGACACCCGGCAGAAACGTTTAGAGTAAGGACCTGGTCACAGAAGTTGGCAGCCCTGAACCCATGTGTAAGGCCCTCCCTTTGTTTTTTGTTAGCCCAGCAATTAGCCATTGTTGTGGCAATCTGATGACATACTTACAGTCTGCTACAGTCATGTCTCATTAATGTGGACACCTCCATTACCGAGAAAAATCATCCATAGTATGAGTTATTCATAATAATAAATTGAGGTCAAGACAACAAATTATATGAGTAATTGCGTTGTGTGTGTGTTTAGACAGCCGGAAGTCAGTCAGCCTCAATGGGCGTCTGGTGTCTCAGCTGTAGATGAGATATTCAGTAAGTAGCCTGTGCAGTACCACTGCCAGCCTGGAATCTCTAGCGTGCACCATGCAGTAGTGACGCATGACCGCACACCGGTACGATGCTCATCCAGGTCGAAACGGGCAGGGGTAGGGCTTGAGCTCAGGATCCCTGGGTTTTTGCAGCGCGAGGTTTTGCTTCATGTGCTCGGAGCTGGCGTGCGCTAACACACTGGGCCACCGACTGCTGCAAAAGACACCACCGTAAAATCCCGAGAGATGCCACACCCCCGAACGATAGCCCACCCCTATTTTTAGCTTAGTTTGCTATATTTTTAAGCACCGAAAGATAGCCCACTCCTAGTAGTAGTAGTATTGGGATCAAAGATGGCCTTGGCATAAATGTGGCTATAGTCCGTTGCAACCTAAGAACAAAGGGCGAGGGTAAGACGGGCTGGGGAGGAGGAAGCAGACGGAACGCTGGAGAACAGAGGAGGAAACCTTCTCTCTTTAGCGTTCCGTCTGCTTCCTCCTCACCGGCCCGTCTTACCCTTGCCCTTCATTCTTAGGTTGCAACGGACTATAGTTAGCTATGGATGGATATAAGCAAACGTTGCTGACTGGGAAGTACAGTTACCTTTGCTTCATTGCTCCTCTTTTTAAACTTTCTTGATTGTGCATTGAAAGTTAGCCCACTCCATATTTTCACCTGATATGCTCTTGACGTTAGGTGGGCTATCTTGGGATATTACAGTATTTATGTTTAGGACATGGTATAGTGGCGAGACAAGTACCCTGCCTTTACTTTTATGCACGGGGAGTACACATCACTTAGGAATGTTCTGCAGGTTTGTCATCCACGACCGTGACAGACCTAGGAAAAGGGCAAATGACCCATTGGGCCTGGAAGCCCCGAGAAATCGAACCAGTGTTCGATGCCCTGGTCTCGTCTCTTTCTCAGGAAGGGTAGCCTAGAACAGAAAGTACTGAAGCTCAGGGTGTACTCCGTGACCCAAGGGCTTCACTAATCCTTTTTTTTTTTTATTTATTTCATGTTTGTGGGCCATCTTGATAAAGCTTCTGTCCGTAGTAATTAGACAAAAATGCTCGTACTTACCCACTTTATTCCTAAAATGGTTGTCCGTTGTCTGGACTATGGGTTGTGGGGGGATTAGCATGAAGAAACTTTTGCTAAAACAAGCCCTGCTTTGGTCTCAGCACACCAAGGAAGGTAGCATAATTTTATTCATGTCATCCGAGGTTCCAAACAAAAACGGGCAGAAACTTGGTCCAAGCTCTTGGGAACGTGGAAGTTCTGCTATAATCCGTTGCAACTCAAGAAAGTAGGGCAAAGAAGAGAAAGGCCGGGGAGGAGGAAGCAGACGGAATGTTGGAAGGAGCAGGAGGTTTCCCCTCTCCTCTCCAGCAATTCCGTCTGCTTCTTCCTCGCAGCCTTCCTTTTACTTTCCCTACCTTTTTGAGTTGCAACGGATTATAATCACATCTGTACTTCGTTGCCGACTTGTTTTATCTGACAACTGAATCTCGCAAGGACCACTTCATGCAGCGTACGAGCCGTGAGCAAAGCTTAAGTTTTCCTTGGGGGTGTATAGAAGCAAATGTTTCGTTAAACGGGAGAAGCAGCACTCGTTGTGGCTCCAGCTGCCCTGCAAAGAATACTTTTACAAAATGGCCCTGCTTCAGATTCGCGAGTGTTTCCGGAAGTGCCGAGGCATTTGGGACCGAGCGCACGTGTTCTGCAGGCCAAGGCAAGCGGGAAGAAGCTGGCCAAGGTGGCCCTGACAGTGTCCCCCAAGGGCATCTCGACGAGGGACGTGGCCACAGGAGAACTGCAGCTGGACGTCTCCATCTACAGGTGACGCTCGGGGGGAGATATCTCTGCAACCAAGTGTACAGATGTTTCTCAGATGTTTCGAATACAATGCCTGGAACGCGTCTCGCAACTGGTGTGTTTACTGCTTTCTAGAAAGTGGTCTCTCAATTTCTGCCCGATGACGGCGAAAAATGTCACATTGACGCCGGTTGTGATCCTGGCTGTGTTGCAGCGGCACTCGTGGATATGGCAAACGCCCGTTCTGCCGAAGGTCACTCTCCAGCTCGTGGAGTCCGTGGAAGCTCGACAGTCCATGGAAGCTTTGGCAGCCGGGAGTCGAAACTCTGGGACCACGGCAGCACTCGCGTTCGCTCATGCTTGTCGCTAGGAGTTCTGGCATCAACTGGGTCGTGACATCCGACGGCGTGACACTTCGGTTTCTGTGATGTCATTTGTCGCCACTTTGAGACCACTTTGGATGTATGACTGGAATAGAACGCTAAGCACACTAGTCGAAGACGCATTCCAGGCACCACGGTTTCAACAGCCGCGTCTCGACTTTGTGTCTGTTGCATGGAATCCAGTCACGATGTTGTGCAATAATTTAATTGAAAAAATGCAACTCAAATTTGTAAAAATTTTATATAATAAATATATTGGCCGCCATCGCTTATGCAGCTGCGATTCGCTTCTGGCGGACCTCGGTCCATTTTATTTGCGTCTTGAAAGAATCGCGAGAGATGTGCATTTCCTGCATGAGATTGTGCGTGGTTCCAACGATTGTACAGAGCTGTCGACGACGCCTAGGTTTTGAGTTCCATCTGGGCGGACCTCAAACGGCCGGACACATTTTATCCCGACATACGGGCCACCTGCCCCATAACACGTTTCCAACAGACGTGTACTGCCGTGTTGGACATTTTTGTTTGATTTTCTTGTTTGCCATGATCCAATCTCGCTTGTTTTTGTGTCTTTCATAGACAGTGCACTGCTGCCCAGGCCTTGGCCGTTGGCAGGCATAGAAATAAGCATATCTAGCTATCTATAGACGTTCAAACAGTGTGCACAAAGTCTGGCATCAAACGAGGCATCCCGTCTCTGCCGTTGAGAGGCTGTCTGGGCAGTGCACTACAACTGCTAATTCGGAGACTTCGGCGTGCATCGTGCAGTGGTAATTAATGCAAGCGCACTCGAACGCAACACCCATCTGTATCAAAATTGGCAGGGGAGCACTGCCAATCTTCTGCAAAGATTGATAAACCCCGAAAGGTAATGCCAAGTTGCAACCAGAAACCCCGGAATTGGAGTTGTCCTTGAAAAAGGAAAAGCAGCTTTGTGGGAAGAAGTCTTTTTCTGCAACTTTATTTTGTGTCGACTCGGAACACGGTTCACGCTGAGGTGTCCATGAGACTGTTCCTTAGGGAACCAGGCCCCTTATCTTTGTTCTCTTATTGATACCAGGCCAGTTTTGAAGTATTTGGGTTACGTGCATGTTCTCCGTAGAGTGGAAAATCTCATGCCCACGTATTGTTTTCTTCGCCGTAAGCCCCACGCAAAAAACTTTCAGCCTTTCTACTCTGCTGAAGAAGGAAGATTAGCGAAGCTGTACTGTGGTGGGAATGAAGTAATGGCCGACCGCAAGTCGGCAAGCCAGAGTGGAAAGGCTGGAAAAATTGCGCCATCTATGAGCGACAGCAGCAACCAGACAACCGGCAAGCCGGTTGTCTGGTTGCCACCGTCGCTTATAGATAACGGTAGCTGTCCAGAGTTTCGCGTCATCATTTGTTTGCTGATGGGCAGTATACTGGGGAAACTAGCCCTTAACAGCTCCGCTGTAAAAATAGTCAGCGAAAAACACCAAACTCTTGGGAAAGAGTAAACCCGAGGATACAGAACACCATATTCTAAGAAAAATAAACTCATGAACACGAAACTGTACCTGTGATTCTGTGTGTGCAGTGCAATATTTCTGTGCCACGTCTCGCCGAGGCTAAGTAACACCTACCTGATGACAAAGCCATAGTGCTGAATTTTCTACATTGCGTACCGGAGACCAGCGCGGGTTGGACACGACTGCGGCGCCCGGCGATTGCACTTGTCCAATCAGTGAGGACGTGACTCCCAGCCGAAAGTTGTTGCTGCACTTGTGTCCAGTCCATGCTCTGTGCTGGCTTTTGGTGAGTGACACAGAAAAACACGTCACTTTGGACTCTTTATCTTTACTTAGTTTTACCGTAACTTAGCAAACAACGAAGTCTGTGGTCCAGTGAGCCAATCAGGATGTTGGGGGGGGACTCTACCTCACCAGTTGCGCGCAGTGCTGTCAAAGCCACGGGCAGGAGAGAGAAAAACGCCACTTTTGTATGAATATTGAATGATGGTCTAATCTCCTAGACCAGTGGTCTCAAACTCATTTGAGTGTGGGGGCCAGATAGCCCACACCGGAAAGGTCGAGGGCCAATGTAAAAGGAGGGGGGGGGGGCTGGGGGGAGTCGAAATATTTTAAAGAGAAGAGACGTTGTGCTTTATGCTTTTCGTAAACTCACAGTTTTGCCAGTTACATCTTTAGATTTGGTTTATCTATATGACTACCTTAGGACCTGACCTCATGTGATAACAAAATATAAAATGACACCGCCCCGCCAATGTCCTGGCATTTTTAATGGTACAAGAGAGCAAGTACACCGTCGTTTTCGTCGCTCAATTCATTCAGGAATTAACGAAGCTCAACGTGTCTCTAAAAAACACAATCAGTTTATTTGAGTGTTCTTGCATTTCTGGAGATTTTTTATTACAACATTGTGAAGAAATACTTGTCTTTTAATGGTGATATTGTTTGAAGGCGAGAATCCCGAGCTCGTATATTTATCTTTGGCAATTTCTCCTGCTCATCGAGAGTTTGTGCAGTCGAGATGCATCTTTCAACAAATAGCTCGCGCTCGCAGCCGAATTGTTGTACATTGCAAAAAGCTGAGAAGCAAAGAATGAAGCGAAACAAAGGGCAAATCAACACAGATAAGTATAAACTATGTGAACACGTTAAAGGAGCAGAGCTACTTTTCGAGCTACTTTTCGACGAGATGAGATCAGTATGGCACATGCCATTTCTAGCGTTCAAAACATGGGCACCGGAACTCGTAGCCGGTTGTCTGCGGGCCGTGTCCTAGAGAGTCGCGGGCCGCGTGTTTCAGACCCCTGTCGTAGACCTAGGGGGAGAAAAGTGACTTCTGGGACACACAGAAGAGGGTCCGGGTGAGAGCAGAGCCCTTCCTTCCCTTCTTCTCTAACTGCTTGGGTTACACTTGTCCCCATACTTGTGGTAAAGGCTGTCTTGTGCTTTGCCTCCGTCACTCTGAATGGCTTGAAGGGGCCACTCAGATGGGGGGGGGGGGGGGGGGGGGGAAGTTCGATTGTCACCACCTTCCCCGATCCGGCGAAGCCGTCCTTGCTCTAATGCTCGTTGCCATGGTCCCCCCGCAGGATCTCGTTCTGCTCAGCGGATGCCAGCTTCGACCGGGTGGTGGCCTTCATAGCAACGCACAGCAACGAGGTGATGGAGTGTCACGCCTTCTTGACGGCCAAGCGCAAAGTGGCCCAGGCGGCGGCCCTCACCATCTCCCAGGCCTTCCAGGTCGCCTACACCCTCTGGCAGAGCGTCCAGGTGCGTGCCCGTGTCTCTCTACAGGACAGTCTGGACAACAATTGGTCCCTTGGCGGTGGTGGGGCAAAACAGTCCTAGCCTCGTCCAGTTCTTCTTTCCCGGAGCCAATACCATGAGCCGGCATCGAAAGACCGCTAGAAATTTTTGGTTGAGTGTGGCTGGTAGCATAGTCAGCTTTGTAGCGCCTAGGTTTCCACGTGTTAGTGCTGTATTTTCCAAACAGTAGCCCAGTAGTAGTCGGCACCCAATACATAGCCCGCACCCGCGTGGAATATGCACTTGTTGTACATTGCATATGCAACATCTTGCATATGATGCATATGCGCTTGTTGCGTAATCAGTGGGGAAAAATGTTTTCTACGGAGCACTGCTTTAGAGATGCCCTCTTTATTAGTGCACATAGAAATGTGAATCATGTAGAAATCATTAGTAACATAACCTAGCATTTGCGAAATCCGTCGTGTCTCGTCATAATGAACGATCTTGAAAAAATAAATCTTTGTATAATTAGCACTGTGGATAGTCTGCACCGTGCAAGATTTAAGCTTTCAAACGTGTATAGCTCACGGACTATAGTCTGGAAAATACGGTATGCGGTTTCCATCAATCAAGCTTTTAACGCAGAATGTGTTTTACGGCTGGGTTCGAGGCCTAGAGCATCACAAAGTGTTGCGACAAAAATATAACGCGGCCAGCTGGCCTTGTCTTACGACGAGAGTTGAATCACTGACCTCTCGCTCAGAATCAGGTGCTCCATCCCCTACACTGGCAGAGCGACTTTGATTAGCACGGTCATAGTAGTTAGTTGATATGTACTTGCATTGCCGCAGAAACTTCGTCGCGCCAAGAGGCACGACGTTTCAAAGTGTGCGGCCTCTTTTTCGGCAGCCTCGAATTGAACAGTAAACTGACTCCTTTTAAAGAGAGTAAAAAAAGTGCGAGAAAGGAAGAGCGAATGAAAGTGTGTCTTCCGAGCTCGGAAAAGCCAATAAATAAATACCCGGCGCGTCTCAAAACACGCCGCACATTTTGCATCTTCCATCTTTGTCCCTAGGATTGGGACCTACTTCATTTTGCCATCCGGTGGCAAAGAAGGCAATGCTGGAGCATAGGGAGAGTACCGTTGCGGCGCCTCACGTTTTGTCACGTAGACAACGCCATTAGTCACGCGCGTCTCATGCATTTGTGACACAGGGGACGTCTTTGTTGCAGGAGGACGCCAAGGTCGAGACGGCCGACCAGCCGGATGCCGCCGGGAGGACCACGCCCCTGATTGACCTGTCGGCAGACACGGTGGGTGCTCCCCGAGACCTTCGGGGCTCAACTTCCTCGGAGAAAGGAACTGCATCGCAAGTTCGTTTAGACAGTGCGGTACCACTGCCAGCCTGGGGTCCCCAACATGAGCCACGCGGTAGTGATGCATGACTGTGCGCCGGTACGACGCTTCTCCTAATCGAAACGAGCAGGGGTCGGACTTCAACTCGGGACTCCCGAGCTTTGTGAGACGAGCTTTCTCTCCACGTGCTTCGAGTTGCAGTGCATCACCACGCTTGGCCGCTGATCTTCAGTTGTATGTATTACATTAAAGGCTGGCTCATACAGACAGCCTAGTGCTAAGTCAACACTAAAAACAGCACTGATGCAACACCGTACAAGTGCTATATTGCTAACATACCACCAAGTGAGTGCTGCATCAGCAAGGTTGACACCAAGGTAGCCGTGCCCCGTATGCATGAACAGGAATCAAAAATTAGGATAGTGATAATGCGTGGTATTTCAGTTGTGTGCTAGGAGTTTCCCAATTCCAGAGGTGCACTTGTCATTTGACTGACCTAGGTGGTTGCCATCAAGACGGGCCCCGCGGGCCTGTTGCGACACCACTTAAAGAAGAGAGAAATTTTCTCTGCGGTGAACCGGGTTTAATGTTTACTGTCAAATCTTGATGTAACAAATTTCGCGGGATTACCGAAAATCGTTTGTTATTTTGAAGTTTTGTCGAAGTGAAAAACTCGTACATCGGCACTATAATAATTGTATTGGAGATGGTAATCAGTTGTTTCCGATCAAAAAGCATTACAGTGTAGACCGCATATAACGTATGTCTCGGGAGTCGCGAAAATCCGCACTATAAGCGGTACCGCACTATAACCAAAAGATCAATATTTCAGGCCAAAATACATGCCACGAGACAACTTACCTTTGTAAAAGAATTTATTTTATGTTAGCTGAAAAATAAAGCTTAGTTTGAGGAAAGTCTTTATCTCACCAGACTAGTACAGTTCTGTCTCAAGTGTGTCACACATTTTGAAAGAAATGAGCGGCTTTTGCCTGGCGCAGCCTTTTAACGGCGTCGCGTGTTCCGGACGGACGTTGCGAGCGTTCAGGATTGCTAACCCTAATCACCTTTCTCCGGAGATGAGAACGCGTGAAAATTCGCATCCTTCATACGGTACGCGCCAGTAATACCTTGAACTTGAGCACACGCATGAAATGCGCCAAATAAGAAATCCGGGCGATGTTCGAGGACACAAATGCTTAGAAATCACCACTGTAGTCGAAGTAAACGAACACGACGACACGGGCGTTTCTGCCGTCTTGAGAGCGCTACCACGACATCGCCGCACGAGTAGGTGGATCTTCCCTTCTAGTACGTGCTGGGTTATCATAGCGACACACAACGAAAATTCACAGTCAAGGATAGCGCTTTTACGCGGAACGATGAGATGCACGCCGTCTACGACGACGATCACAACCGACGCCATGTTTGCGGAATAGAAGCAATAGAAGCAGCCGGCCCGCGACCGGCATGCAACGCGCGCGAACACTTCTCCTCGACCTGCGATTGGTCTGTCGTTGCGGTTGTTTGTTTCTTTGTTTCCAACGCAGCGGAGGGACGCACCATAGCCTATGGACGCACGCACGTGAACGACTCGTGCGTGCGTCCCTCCGTCGCTCTGGCAACTGAAGCCTCTCTCTATGATTCTCCCCGCATTTTCGAGCAACCTCCTTGCCCCGCGAGTGCAGTTTGCGGCTCGCGCCGTCAGCGCCGTTATCTAGTGTCGCACAGGGAAGCGAGCTCGTTGCTCCGGTCGTCGGCGCGGTCGGCGGGCTGTGCCAAAAACTGCACTATAACCGGTATTTCCCTTCGCGCGCCTGCATTTTAAGCGGTATGTAATTACATGGAGTTCTATGGGAGGTGAACCGGTGGTTTAAAAAAAACGCGTTATACCCGGTCCTGCACTATAAGCGGTTACGTTATAAGTGGTCTATACTGTACACGCAATGGAACACTATGTACATATTTAATAGAGGAAATGCGTAATCATTTTTCTGCTAGGGGCAGCACAAATGCTGCAGAATGAATGATTCCATGTCATCCACATCCTTGTGAAGCGCATCGGTCGCATTGTTACATCTTCCAAAGAACGTGTGCAACTTGACGATGGCACTCTCCTCCAAGGGGTCCATGGTAACTTGTCGGCAGCTTGGCTCCACAGTTCGCTTGCATTGCTTTCGTCTGGGTGCTTGCCATCTTTTGGTAGGACTGGCATTTTCAGAAGAGGAACTCGTTGTCAGGAAATCGAACCAAAGCTCATGGCACCAAAAAGTTGGGAGGAAGCCCCCTTGACCCATGTACTGTAACGAGCACCGTATTTAAACAAATATAGATCGACCCATTTTTAAATTTTTGAAAATCTGATGTGAGGGGGGGGGGGGGGGGGGGTCGACTTATAATCGAATCAAAGCATTCCACCGCCGACAAAAACGAAATAATCGCAATGTCAAGAACACCTTGGCTTGTTAAGAGTTCAGCCGGCTGCACCTGTGGCATTGTGCTATTCTGTGCGCTCATTTTACAAATTCTTTTTGTTGTTTTTTTTGTTTAAAGAAGTATTAATGATAGCGATGTGGCAAATTACCTTGAATGCATGGTGGCGAACAGCGCACGGTGCTCCCGACTCCTGGGGGTGGTGGTACTTCTTGCAAGAGCCACTCCGGAGGCCGCTGGAGCAGCCTTACGCCTCACTCCCTGTGGCCTGTGGCTTCTTTTCGCAGTTTTTTTTGCACGATTCACGGTCGCTTGTCGTTTGATTGAGTGTGAAAATCATGCCAAAGCACCAACTACTTTTTTTTTTTTTTTTAATTGACATACGTGATCTGGGCAGTTTAGGTTTTTGGTGCTTGTTTATGGCCATTCTTCATCCAGAAGCAACCAACAACTGCACTGCTGGATGCAAATTCAACTTGTTGGAGCAGGTGGTGCTCCAGTGCAGTCTGCAATGGCTCGGAATCTTAACTGTGTCGGCAAACGGAGAGGGTTCCGCGGGCCAAAGTCTGGATAGGTGGGGATGCCTTCCGGAGTTGGAGGGCAGGCTCACTATGGTACGCTGCAAAAGTGCGCAATCAGTCCCTACCCGTGACGTGCACTGAGCAAGCGCGGAATATGCAGTTGATGCTGTCATTTGCAAAGTGCGAGATTTCTTTAGACAACGCCACGACACGGACGTGTTTTGAGAACGTAGCAGTGATGACGACGGGACCTGTGCGGACTAAAGGCCCGTTCACACTCTTGCGACTGCTTGCGACCTCTTAAACCTGGGTTCCTTAAAACTTCTTAAACCAGAGAACACACTGGCGCCATCTATTGGGAAGCAGTGTAAACTCGGCGGTCCGGCATATTTTTTTTTTATTTCTCGCGCAATATCCTTTCTTTTTTGGCTCGAAAAACTTTTGTCAATGTTATAAACGAGCCTTTCTATGGGTATTATGCACATTTGACCTCGGAAATCCCGCAAAACCTTCGCTTTTGTGAAATGCAGTTCTAGGGTCACCGCATAGATGGCGCCACAATGTCAGTGTGTTCCCTCATTCTAGAAACATTTAAGAAGTTGTAAGAGATCTCGTATCTCTCTGTCGTACTCGGTCGCAAGAGTGTGAACGGGCCTTAAGCATAGTCTCTAGTCGCGGACAGAGTGAGAACGACAGGGAGCAGCTGTAGCTTCCACCGTGCTAGGGCAAAACTAACGACATGAGGTGCTTTGAAGGCAGAAAGGCGATCCGAAGTGTGGCACCAGACAAATATCTGCCAGGCTTTTTGGAGAGATGGCTCCGACAGTGGTGAGGCACTCAACGGCAGCCTGGGCAGCCCCACCCCTCCTTTCTTTTTTTGTTTTCGTCATTGACATTTTTATTAATTTTCTTAGTTTCTTCGTGTGTCATCTCTTGATTTAGCTTGTTAAACACTGAACATGAAAAACATGTATATTCTGTGCCGGGCAGTTATTTTCGAAAGAGTCTACGACAAAATGTTGAATCAAGACAAAACAAACAAGGTTCCTCGCGACTTGTAGCAACTTGCAGTTTTATTTGTAGCCTCAAAGAAAAGTATAGACATGTGGGATCTCCCAAATGCCTAGATCTTTTTAATAACTCCTCCTTAGCATTTGCAGGAAGATGATTCTTCAGGCTTTCATAAGGATGTGAACCATAAACTGGAAAATGCCTTCAGAAACCACTTTGACGTTTGATGGCAAATAAGCCCCGTAGAAAGGCAAGCACGCATCCATTTTAACATTATTGTTTGGCTTTTCAGAGCATTTGAGTTTTAGTGGATCGTTTCGACGACTCCGATAACAATACCCGATACTCGGCCGACCACCTTTGCGCATGCTTCGTATAGTCATTGGGCACCGTTATCTGAGGTGTCAGAACGATTTCTGAAACTCTTAACGAAGCCTGGATCGCATCAAACCTGCAAATCAGCTACATTCTTTTACGGGAATTTGCAGGTTGAATTAGAAATCTGTGCTTCAGGGAATTTGTTATAAGTGTTCAAGGTATCGAGAGACTCACCTATTGTCAACAAGAAATGCAGACTGAGTATTCTGTGGTTCCCCTGGGATTGTCAGGTTACAATGGAGCACTTGCGATTCGTGCAAATGCAAACTGTCGATGAGCTGTTTGCCTACGATAAACAGAAGCACAGGGCCAATACAATTTCAAGTTTCGGTTCACGCTTGCCCGACCTAGCCGGCGAATCAGATACACCGGTGTGTCCATTGCAGGGCGGCTTTGGCCGGCTGAGCCCCGGGGCGTCGCAGCCCCAGGTGTACCACAGCGGCCTGGGACCCCAGGAGGAGGAAGAGCTGCGGCGGTTCGTGGCCTCCGGAGACTGCAGTCGGGAAGGGGCCCTCAAGGCCCTGGACCCGGAGGACGACCTCCTCACCCTCTGAGGGGCGCCGCCCGCCGCCCCGACGGGCCACGTGTTTTGCGCGTTTCGGTTCTCACTAAGGAGCCTGGGACGCGTCTCCGGCCGGCGTGCTCATTGCACTTTAAAAAGCGGTCCCTCCGCTTCCGCCCGACGACGTCTTAAATGTGTCAAGCCGTCGCCGGCCGCAATCTGCTGCAGGCGCCTGTTCTGCTGCAGGTCCCGCATGGAAAGCACTCTTTGGGTATCATTTTCACGTTCGGTACTCGATTCTTCTTCTAAACTCCCGGATAAGTTTGTTTGGAAAGTTCTCTGTTCCGAGGATACCGAGGGACGCAAAAAGATTTTACGAGCCAATAACTGTGAAGTCTCATCGTAATTTGCACATTCTCGCACTTGTTCGCAAGATAATTGAAATCGTGGATTGGCAATAGATTGACATACCATTAGCAAATACTTTTTTGGTGTAAATTATGTATCGAGGCACCAAAAGCTTTTTCTATGGAACATTTACACGTGGATTTAAAACAGCATGCATCAGACCATACCTATGCAAGCACCAAATCTGCCAAGCTCGGTAAAAAAATTCTGACATTTTTACATATGAAATGGAACGCTTTATAGGGTTGCACCTTTAGAGCCTCTGAAATTCATTCCTCCAAGGTGATTGCAACATCCACAGTCATTCATCTCGAATCCCTGGACACTTCGTAACAACCAAGCAGTTCAAATTTAGACTTTAAAAAGCAGAGTGGAAAACCCTTTCAAGGTTTGCAACAGCTCTAATTAATGGTAATAAGAAACAACAAGTTTAAGAAATAGAAAAATGTAACAAGGGCTGACGCATTCGTTTTTTTGCATTCTGATTTTTAAAATCTTTTTTTTTTTTCTTTTTCTGGCTCTCTTCATTGTTTACAATGTTGTGGGGCCAGTTGAGTTTGTTTGGGATCAGCTATGAGAGGCTGTCCACCATGAGAAGGGATCATTCTAAAAGGTGGTGCTGTGGGCAGAGGTGTACACCAGTGATCCACACGAGGATGAATACACGATCCTTGCATCGTATTCGGGTCTTTTGGAATCTCATATTTTGTGTCCTGGACATTCACATAGTAGTGCTTCTAAACATGGTGTCTGGCATCTCAATTTTGTAAGGCTAGTTTGGCGAGTGCGGTGCATACAACTGGCAACTCAAGTTTCTTTTTTCTTTACATCCGTCGGGCACTGGCAGCAATTACTCGAAAGAACACCATTGTGATGCAATCTGAGTGCACAGCACGAGTTTTCTCTTTTCGTGCTGCTGAAGCTGCAACGTGAAGCCTCAACCACCTAGCGAGCACTGCGAGGTAGACAGACGTTCTCAATCTTTGGATCTGCTTCAGGGGTGCTGCGAAGGGTTTGGTGCAGAACTCGAGTGCAGTTTGCCTTTACATTGATCTTGGATGTCCCCTTTCCCATGCACCATTCACGCTGTGTGTTAAGGAAAGTGTGTGCAGCAATGGGTCTCCGACCTACGAGGCCATCTTTATGGTTGGCGTTGGTTGCTAGATTCCAACGCCTCGTGGGTTCGAGTCACGCGGCGAGACTCGAATGCTACGCAACGTTGAGGCTCACTCTGCAAAGCCGTGCCGGCTCGGTTAGAGCCGGGCAGATGTTCTTGCTGCATTTATAGTTTGTGCTATCTGTCTGAAAACATGACTCTTAGGTTGTTTTTAAAAGTGTGCCTTGAAAACTATGTATGGGGAGAGCTTGTAGCCCTTCTCTTCGCGCTGTTGCAGAGATGGGCTTCGCTACAGCGTGGGTTTTTTCGTTGTGCGTCTATCCCGGTGCTGAAATGTTTAATGAGCTTCAGAGTTATTTTTGAGCATAGCTAAAACGTTGTTAGTTCGCTTGCGTGTAACTCCCGCAATCCTTTTTTGGCTCGTAATATTGTGCTCTCGTTGAAAGTTGTTGCTACTTTGTTTCTCACTTTTTTGCTGTTATATACATAGATTTTGGAAAATAGAAGTGGTGCTGTGGCATTTGGGCAACACAGAATAAATGATCTTGGTCATATGAATGTTCATTGTCTTTATTTTTATATGTGGTTAGTACAGTCATTGTTATGCACATATAGTGCACCCTTTTGTTGGGCAACAGATTATTTATGGCTCTAATGCAATAGGACTTTCTAAAGCATTTAGCAACCATGCAATCATTACAAAGTCGTTCAGCCATCCTAACCAGTACTAGTAACATGTGCAACTATCCTCGACTTTCAAATCTTAACCCAAATATTGGTGCATTGGATTCAATCCTAAGTCCAAATGCGGCATCACAAAATCGATAATTGGCGAATTTGTTTGAGGAACTATGCTTAGCACTCCCACTCGAGTCCCCGGTTTATTGTCGAGCACTTTCATTTGATAGTCCCTTGGCTTGACTATGTGCCTCTTCGTCCTGTACGCTGCAGGACACAGTTAGTGTGAACGAAACATAGGCGCTAGTATTGAGGCTTTTCCCAATAACAAGCACCCTCTGGGGGTTTGTCTGCGAATTACAAACGAAGGGCAGTCCAACATGCGTCCGCACAATGGAACCCATTGGCATTATGCTGTTGTATTGGTTTTCGTTTCTTTTTATGACCCCATAATACCAATACTACAAAAAAAGGAATCTCAACAGAAAAGACTAATTACGCAAAAGGATTGGTGCTCACCATTTCCAACGTGCCAGACGGTGCCCTCCGAAAGTGCGTAGGCAGAAAGTAAGACTAGGGGAGAGGCTGTACGTACGCGCAGAAGCTTGGTAGAAAAATGTCGAGAGATAAGCATGAAATTTTACCGCTTAGGTTAGAGCACCAGATAAGCACATTTCAGCACACTACTAGCTTCGACGACAGTGGTTTAAGGGGGACACTGCCTGGGCATGTCTACTTTTGAACCGCTCACTCAATCGGCGTGAAATTTGCAGGTGGTTTTTGTAGCCATATAGAAGGAGGGCATGCAAAGTTTCAGCCCTGTGAACCAATTTTATGAGGTTCTATACTCCCAGGACGTAGCTTTGTATGGAATCTGCTCAATGAATCTATCGTTGAGAAATGGTGTTGATCACCATATATTTTTCTGGTGGAATGCATACTAAAATACTTGTTGGCCGGTTACTATAAAAAATAAACATAAGAAAATATGCATTTTTCAGCAAAAAAAAAAATTATTAAAGTTCTTTTATTAATTTATATTGTTTTATAAGTGGATTGCACTGTATCATATTTCTTTTCTATTTTTAATATTCTGTGTATAACTTCGATGACCCGCGACTTTGATTGTATTTGGTGGTTGTGTCTAAACCATAGAAAACGGCACGTGACTGCGGAGAAGAGAGTAAGCGCGCCTCAAACCGGCCAGTTCTCCTCCTCTATCGGCGGTTTTTGAGCAGGAGGAAAACAAACTTCGAGCAGGAAATTGTTTTCTGGGTAGTTGGGCTCTCATAAGTCATGTACAAATAAAAACCTAGGCGAGCATAAATACCCTGTCACAGTGCCCGTCAGACTTTCGCGTCATCCGTCCAACTTTTTCCCCTTGTTTCGGATTACTGTGACTGTACATCTCTCCTTTGTCCATTTCCTTTGCGCCGTTTGTGCCTGACAATGGTCGACCAATTGTCAACGCTACACTCAACTTCATTTGCGAGCGAGTACATATCTTTTGAAACTGACCCCAATCCAGCTGGTGTGAACAACTTATTTTAATGGAAAAGTTAATTGCTCGTTACATTGCAAAAGGCAGTGGATGAGAATTACTTGCCTCTGACGAAAGTAAGTACTATATACAAACGGGACTTTAGTCCCAGAGCAGAGGCGACGTATTTGAAATTGTCACGAGCGTCCCATCTTTTACGCACGGCACGATTACTTGCCACAAAACTGTTCTAACGTTCGGCTGCCAGTAAGGTGGCGGCTGAACGAACTCCATCCAGTCCCTCCCTGGTCCTAGGTTCGTAAGGCACGCGGGGTGACGACAAGAGGGCCCTCGTCACGTTTACTGCCGTCCCTCAGAGGCTGGCGTAGCTCATGATGAAGAGGCGCTCCTCCTCCCGCTTGATCCAGTGCAGCAGCTTGCTCATGGCACGCACTGCCGCATCCTTGTCCACCAGGGGCTCAAAGGCTGCATAAAGCTCGAAGCCAGCCATGTGCTGTGCAGAAAAAGGCGGTGCAAACCACATTAATTACCGTCAACTCGCAAGACCGTGACTCAAATGTCGCCGCTAAACCAATTGCCATATTTCAATTTGTTTTTATTTTAGCACACATAAGTTGCATTGTTGTATGGGATGCACCGACGGAAATTTGGAAAAACACTGGCTTGTATACTGAAAAATGTATATTATGCATGTTAGAAAAGGTTATGTTTTAAGAATCACATACACAATGTTCTACTGAAACTTCCAAATAAGCACGGAGCACTACAAAATGTGGCTGGTGATGAACTATGGCGGCAAACGGCAATACCATTTGCCGTAATAAGGGCAACCCACTTCATTTTCGTTCTTGAAAAAAACAATGCAGTCCTCTTGGTATCACCTAGGAAAAACACACGTCAAATATTATGACCTAGTTCTCTCTTAAAAAGTTTGTTAAACTGAAAAACTTTACAACGTGCCAAGTTCCAGAAATTGGCTGATTCCAGCGGGTGAATCGAAGCGCAATCAACAGCGGCTACGGCGTGGGCGTAGCCAACATTGAGCTTAACGTCATACCATAGCCCCTTTTTGTTCATTTCTACTTTTCCCAGCAAGCGTAACGGGTGAAGTCAGCAACGCTTCCTCTCGGCGCTCAGTGGTGTCCACGTGCCTGCGCAACACACTTCTTGGGAGACATCCCGCCAGTTACCGCCGTCTCCCGCGTCACAACCGCCGTCATCGGCTCACCATTTGTGATTATTGTCTCTCGGAGTTACGTTCACATTACGTGTGTAGACTGATGCCGCAGTTGTGCAGACATTGTCGAACGTTGTACACACCAAAACGGGGTGAAGTGTGTGGTGCAGACGACAGTTGCACCTGGTGCACGCCCGCACAATCCTGCCCGTCGTGTAGAGGATCCCGTGACATCTCATGCCACATGATAACCATGTTCATGGTGGCTCGAAGCCAATGTTGCCGGACAGAACCGAAGTTTCGGTTTTGATTTCTGCTCATGTTTAAAGGGGCGATGCAACGATCTTTTGTATTTTGCGCGAATACCGCTTAGAACGGATCCCTGACGTAAATGACCTGTGAAATACCCGTTCGTTTTTCACCACATGCAATCGAAGTCACAGAACAAAATAAAGAAAAACGAGCAGCGTTCACCCCCTCAACTCGCAGCCAGAACAATCGGCCACGCGATCTAGAGCCGATTATATGCCGCCAATGTTAATCATAGCCATGCGCTGGGGTTGGCAAGGCACAGGACACGCGCTGAGTTCCAGACACTGTTATGGTTCGGCTGTTGTCATCATTGCAGCGATTGGACACGGGACACTACCCGAATGCTTCTCGAGCTATCGCTATCGACTATCACGAGCCAAAATCGAGTGCCCACGCCATGCTCGGGCCCAATCTATGAGCCGCATTCAAATATCGTCACTGGGCGGTACTGCTACCGCCCAGCTACGTCATGAGGTTTTGCGAAGGAGAGATTGAATGAAAACGCTCGGTTTTGTCCTCAAAATTACAGCGGAACAAAGGAATTTCTTGGTCAGTGGCGTTTCGTGCGAGTATCCTTGAGTCCCACTAGTGCCAGTGAGCTCGTGTAAAGTGAAAAACATTCCAACTGAATATTGTTGCACCGCCCCTTTAAATAAGATTTAACAATATATACATACCATTTTTTTTGCGAAGAAAGTGACATAGTGTCTATTACTAGAGCTTTTTAGTGTTAAAGCACTCATTGTCCCGAAATCTTTAAATTTGAGTGGAGTTGCCCTTTAAAGAGACAATGAAGGCAATTTCGGATATTTTTTTGGCAACTGAACTGGGTTCCAGGCACGTCTCGGGCCACGTTGCCCAAATTTCAGCTGAAACCGGGGCTTGCATGCCGCGCAAATCAATTGGACAGTCGCGGTAATAATCATACTGCAGTGGTGGTCCGGCCATTTTAGGTTTTGGAGCAATTTTTGGAGCAAGAAAAATCCAATTTTGGAGCAATTCGTATCACATAAACTCCCCTTTTGGAGCAGGGAAAAGCTCGTTTTGGAGCACCTTGGTATCAGGAAGACTAAACATTTTGGAGCAGCATGAACATAGAGCAGTTCTGTGCCATGTCTTTATTATTATATATATACATAGCCTCCTCTATACGGAGAAAGCCTGGCACATCGACGACGGAGCCATAGAGCGCGCGGCCGCAGGAAAAAGGAGAGGAGGAGCGCGCCCAACGGTGACCAATATGGTAGCGCAGAGCAGAAAGGGCAGACCTAGACAGCAAGCGCTTGGGTCATGAGCGGCCGCTCCCCGAACCACGCTTGTTTTTGTGTTTTCGTCACCGTCGTTTTCGTACTCGGGGAGAAACGGGCGCGGCGATTCGAAAGGGCGCAGGGAGAAACGGGAAAGGGTGGTCAATGAGTTTCTCCTCTCCACGGTAGCGACAAGAAAAGAGAGAAAGAAAAAAAAAAAAAGATTGTTTCTGCGTTTGGCCGCTCGCTCTTTTGTGGCGCTAGCGGACAAGGTTCTCTCCGCTCCCGTTTCTCCGCCCCTCCTTTCCCATTTACGGCGGCCGTCTTTTCACGCGACGCGCCAGGCTTTCTCCGTATAGAGGAGGCTATGATATATATTACGGCTGCCGAAAGTCCGAAACTATAGCGATTTATTAAACATGTTTGTAAGCTCTATTCTGAGTTCGCACGCAGTGCGACAGTATGACAACCAAGGGGTGACCAATCGTTTACGGCATTTGACATGAAAAGGAACACGCAACAATTCGCAACAAGGAAATCAAGCAACGACCACGCGATCAAAAAGAGTACCACGTTCGGTATTGATGCCGCTGGTCTGCCGGTGAACGAGCGTCCAAGCAAATTTCTACTATGGGGTCTGTAACTTAAAACGCGCATGCAGAAAAAAAGACTACTCACGTTGGCTCCTCTTTAAGAGGACTTAGTAGTGGTGATGCAGAAATGAACAGCCACAACGCCGCATATCAAAACGGTCGCAACAAAACAATAATGCGCAATAATGCCACTGGGCCGGAAACCTGAATTGGATTGTGATGGCTATGGTAACGGCTCTACCCTTTATATCGGGCGGCAGTTTGCACCTGCTTGCACCACCTAGAGCACTATATAGCTCTATAGTGCTCTGGCACCACCTAGCCTAGAAAATAAAACACCCCCGGGTTGCCAGCCGAAAACGCCATTCTTCCAAAAAAGGATTCGTTCACGGACCGACTAGCCCTTTTTGGCGCAGTTTGGCGCGGTTTGGCGCAGTTTGGCGCAATTTGTGTCCTTAGGCGCAGCAAGGCGCAGGTAAAGGAGAATTTATCAAAATGGCGCAATTGGCGCAGCTGGACCACCCCTGATACTGGTATCGACTGGAGCGACGCCCCGAGAGTTGCGGAAGAAGCCAGGAGAAGCGGAGCTCACGTGATGTTGGGGGGCCAAGAAGCGTGACGTCACAAGAGACGCGTCAACGATTGGTGGAAAGAGAGACGTGCCCTCGGTCACGTTTTGGTTTGCGATTTTTAGAAATACTGTTCTAATTTCTGCTTGAATAACCATGAAAAGTATAAATCGGACCAAAAATGATTACTAAATCATAAATAAAACAGCATAATTGTTTTTCTCTTTGCTATGCTGAACGTGAAACTGGCAACGAGCAACTATGGGCAAACAAAATAAAATAAAAAAAGAACACACGGGAGACGTTGGTTTTGGGGTCAGATGTCGGTGTCATGTTCACTTTGGGAACACTGCACTCAAAGGATTCTGCAAAATGGTAGTCGTACCAAACTTGTGTGCTGTAGATGGCTGTTCTAACAGTCGACTGAAGACCAGTAATCATTCATGCGACGCTCGTTTTCATGCGTGGGATGCTGTTTGTGTCCTTTGACGACGAAAAGAGGACATCCAACTTTGGTGAAAACCAAAAATGGTGCTGTTTATTTTCTCCATCTTGGGGGCGGAAGAACCGGTTCCCGGAACGCTGCCGCTTTCCCCTCGACATCTCCCCCGTGTCCCTGTCCTTCGGCAACGCGCCGCTCTCGTCTCGCCCGTGCGAATGTTGCTCACTGCTTCCCTGCTCGGAGCCTACGAGTTGCTTGTTGCCGGCTTGGCAGTCTCCGTCGGGTGATGGCGGAAGCCGCCACACACATACTCCCGTTCCGTTGGTGTTAGGTCACTGAATGGAAGCCCCAACTCGCTCGCGAGAGTGGCAATGTCGTTCATGTTGACAGATTTGACGAAACGACTGCGCCGCTATAATCCACCGCGGTAACCCGAGTCTCGATCTCCTAAAAGCTACCGATACCGACTATTCACACTTGACGTCACTCCTACGTCACCTCCGTTTTCGGAGGCCTTGAAATGAGAACGGAGATAGTTCAGTTTCGGTTCTTCAGTTCTTTCGTAGGCACACAAATACGCGTCACAAATGTCTACAAAAAATTAGGCAGCGTGCTAGGTTCCCAAGAAGCCTAAAAACACCATTTATAAAAATTTAAATAAAATCGTCTGCCTTCTCTTTTTAAGTCATTGTTGCAATACCAAGTTCTGGCATGTCTGTAGTTTTTTTAGCCCCATTAGCCCCAAAAATCTTTGTCCAAGTTGCGGGCTAAACACATTCTTTTCGTGTAAAGCTCGTCAAAATATTGGGTGCTGGAGAAAATCGGCCATTTGCATTAAGTCCTTATTTCAAACTCTTTTTGCTCACGTCCTGCCCATTGAAAAGCACGGTGAAAGGGCCCAACTATGCACCCGATCTCGCTACCCCGGCGTCTCCTTCGGCACGATAAAGTATGTGTGCTATGGTCAGCGTCACCATGGCAATGAAGCGTCTTCTTAAAGGAGCTGTGTAACAATTTCAGGGCTTTGCTTAAATTATTGTGGAAGTTGATGCCTGACACTTCTGAAGTGAACTACAGAAAACAGATTTTGCCTGGATACCCTAGTTTGTATTTAAAAAAAATGAAAAAGATCCAGGTTTTTGCCGCCTCTCAACTCGTACGTCGTCTTCCGGGTCACGTGCGCAGTGACGTTGAGGGTGTAGGCGAGGGGTTCCAGAAAAGTTCTCTCTTTAGAGCCATCAGTGAGCAGCGAGAACTCATCCGCTCGCGACCGCGTGACCACGTGCTGGCGGGCGCCGCACGAACAATATGGTGAAAGGAGGAAAGTCTCATCCGGGTCCGGCCATACCCGTCCGGCTCTGTCCCCTTCCCCCTCCGGCTTCTGGCGGCTGTTCACGGTAGCAGAGAGAGCTGACAATTTTGTGGACCTAGGATAGATGGTGTCACTAAAACTCCGTATAATAAAAGTTTTGTCGATGATACCAGGTTTTGACGCATTTATATATATGTTGGAACGACCAGATTTATAGAAAAGTTACCTTTTATCGAGTAGGTATTCGCACAACTTGCTATGTTTCTACAAGATTCCCCATTGACGTCACGCCGCGTGTTTCTCATGGCCGCCGCTCGCGGCTGCAGGTCAGGGAATATTATAAGTTTTGCCTCGCTATTGCGCGGCGGAATCGTAACATTTCGATGAAAGGAGATGTGCTTCCTGTCATTTGTGACAGGGTGAACAATATCAAAAGCAGAAGATGCCAATTCTTTCAACGTTAAAATCGTTGCACAACTCCTTTAATGGAGGAACAGATCATTGAAATACATAGATGCTCAAAATATTAATGAACACCGAAAAAGATCCGCCGATGTTCCCCCGTAAACGAACTCCGAAAAATCTACAACCTACGCACGGCCCCATCGTATCATGGCCCAAAAGTGTCGCCCCCACTCACCCATCCCATGAGGGTCTCCCTGTCCGAGGCCCAGAAGAGGATCTTGAGGGGGCAGGCCGGCTGGTACATGCGGTGGTGCAGCAGCCGGTACTGGGCCAGCAGCCGCTGGGGCACGCAGGGGGCCTCCAGCCGGGGGCTGCTCAGCTGGGCCCCGCTCTTGCTTTTGTACACAAAGTGGTACAGCTCGGGAATGCCCGCCTCCCGCACACTGTACCCCTTGGCCGCCTGGCTCACCGCATCCAGGCAGCCCTGCCACATCAGGCGCTGCACGCATCACGCACAAGGGCCACATCTTAGGAACCGCTTTCTTCCAGCGTACAACGATCCGGTAACAAGAAACGGTCCCCCCCCTCCCAGCACTTATGTCGTGGCAGGGGCAACGGTAACACGGAACAGGGACAGATGTATGGGTCAAGCTTTGGGGGTGCTTTCGGCAGAGAAGCCTGACGTCACAGACGAAACGTCGCCCATATCTATTTTGTTGACCTAATTGCCATTTTGACCAAAAACTAAACATTTCTTTAAAAAATAAACATAGTGTACTAAGTCGATTTCTTTATAAGAAACGAACGAAGCATTGTGCAGATATATTTTGTTGACCTTAAAGTTTCCATTTCACCAAAAACTACACATTTCTTTAAAAAAATGAACTCGGTGTACTTTGTTATTTTTTTCTCATTAAAAGTTGCTTTTGGTGGGCTTGGAGGGAGGAGAGGGGTGATCGCCCTTCCTTTCCTTTCTTAAATTTACCCGACACAAAATGTATTGTGTGCATCGCCTTGCGGTGTTGTTGCGCGGATGAATATGGTACATAATTTATACCGCAATGGCGCAGACATCGTCGTGTGTAGCGTCTCTAAAGAAAGTCCTGCCGAAGTTTGAACTCTGGCTGGAGATGAACGCCAAGTTCACAGCTGTTGCAGTCGCGCACTCCAGCTTTCGCCTTCCTAGTTCGCATATCTCCGTTCCCTCCAAAGCATGTGCTCGTTTTCTTCCCCTCGCCTCCTGCACGCTCTCCCATGGGAGCGCTCACTGCCCTGTAACAATTTAAACCCGCTTCTCCCGCGTGCGCTATTGGTACATTGGCTCGGCGTTGGATTCACAGCTGGGGAGACCTCACTTCCAAGCTTTTATTATGCTAGCGAATTCTGCTGCAAGGCTTCCACGTTACAGGAAGCAGCTAGTACGAGCCAGCCAGCTATATTGTTGAGGGACGAAAATGGATTGACAGGTGTAAAACTGAAAATAAATGTTTGTCGGCAAAGTTGCGCCAGAAATAAAAAAAGAATGAGCATCGAGAACGCAGCAGCGAGCGCCGAGGTGTCGACTTGACAGCTGGCTTGTGCGAGAGTGAGTAGGCAAGGCTGCTCTGGGCTCCTTATCAACTCTGTGTCTCGAACATTCGGTCTTCAACGTTCCAGGGTCAAAATACTCAGGAGACTGACTCGGCAAGGTTATGTTGGCCTCCTTATACCTATATTACACTCGGGGTTAGAGTAAATATGAATCTGCTAGAAGTACGGAGAAGCATTCCCTCTCGGCCATGAACGCGGCAATCCGTTCCGTGTTGCAAATCAGACCGTTCCCACCTACAGAAACCGGTTGAGAATGCTTTCTGCATTGCAAGTCTAAGTATCCAAAAGCTTGTGTTCCAGCTCCTTGGGCTGATATTATTCCTTGTACTGTGCCCTGGGCTCCTCCCTATACGGCACCGATTGCTCTGCGGAAATGACGGCATGTGGTTCATTTTCGCTGATAATTCGCGACTCCAGCAAAACGGACGCCACCAAGCGGGGAAACCGGGAACCAGCCGGACCAGGTCATTCCGCGCCCCTTTGCGTCTCTGGTGGCTTTCGCGGATACGTGTTGTCGGCGCGGTGGCGAACAATGTAAACTGACGAAGGTCCGAAAATTTCTTAAGTTTGCCTGAGTGTTCATCAGTGTGGTGAAACCTCAGTAGATTGTTTCCTTCCATCACTTGTTTGAAAGCCCTTTTACTCCACAACACACGGTCGCATAATTTTAATTTCTTGGATGGGGAGGAATCACGGAAAAACGTTTTGATTTCTTGTCTGTCTCGAGTCACAATCAAGGTGACGACTACTTGGTAACTGATAAGTGGTTTCTTTATAAGGATGTAGAACAGTGGACCGGGGACGACAGACGAGGCATTTCACTGGAGGGAACACCAATGTTGCAGTCAAGTGAACGGGAAGGTTCGATAGCTGATTTTCTTGAGTTTGGTTGTGTTCAATTAGCTTCAAGTTTGAGCCACCCACGCCGGTCAGTGCGTTGGATATTCATCTTGGCTGCTTTTTGCCGAAAAAGCCTCTGGACCACACTGAAGGAGTTGGGCTGATTTCGCAATTACTTGATTCAGGAAAACCTGCTCGCTGCAAATGATGAATGAGGGAAATTATCAGTTTTCAAAAGGTGGGGGATGCGTCTCGCAACATTAGAAGCTGTCACGGCTTTTCAATCTATCGCGCCTCCCAACATTTATATTATACCCCCGTCGAAGCCAGCAGCAATATACGTCTCCATTGCTCAGGTCGACCGGCCACAAAAAGTACTAATTTTCTCCGTTCAGGATTCGAAGCAAAGTTCAATGCAGAGAGGTTCTGCGTGAATTTCCAACGAAGACTCACTTCAGTTTGTCTCCGTGCTGCCGGCTAGAACCATTTGGCTAAGTTTAAGTAGCATCTCTTTGTCTGTCAAATATACTTTTATTCAGCAGTTCACCTAATAGCTAGTCAACTAAGCTCATATTTCAACCCGAAGAATATACTAATATCGCTTTAGTGGGACATAGTTCGTAATATAATACATAACCCGCTCGTCAAAATGACTTCTCGATTGCTACTAAAACCTGAATTGAAATGCGAGTATCAGCTGCTTAGTGGGGCGCCAGCGGGTTAACATGCTCCTTGGCTCACGAAGCGCTTGCTTAATTTTCGTAATTTTCCTGCAGCCTGTGTTGTTGACCGAGCAGACGACTGGATCTGTTTCCTTAAAGGGCAACTCCGCTTCATTTTTGGTTTTGAAAAAACAATGCAGTCCTCTTCAGTATCGCCTAGGAAGACCACACGTCAAATATTACGACGCAGTTCTGTCTAAATGTTTCTTAAACGGTCCGGCAAACTTCGCAACTCGCCAAGTTGCCGAAATCGGCTGACTCGAGCGGGCGAATTCAGGCGCAACTAACAGCGCAGTCAAGGCTACGGCATGGGCGGAGCCAACATTGAGCTAAACGTCATCATCATGGCCCCCTTTTGCTTGTTTTTACTTCTCCGATCGAGCGTAGCGCATGACGTCAGCAACGTTTCCTCTCGGCGCTCAGCGGTGTCCACGTGATTGGCGTACGAGCCTGCGCAGCGCGCTTCTTGGGAGCAGACCAACGGCCCGCCGTGGTCCCGCCATTACGGCCGTCTTCCGCGTCACAACCACCGTCGTCATCTCACCGTTTGTGATTATTGCCTCTCGGAGTTTCGTCCACACTATGGACACCACGTACGCAGAGTCGCAGACTTATGCCGCGGTTGTGCAGACGTCGTCGAATGCCGTAGACACCAAAACGTGGCGAAGAGTGCGGTGCAGACGACACTCGCGCCTGCCGCATGCCCGCCCCCATCCCGTCCGTCGTTGGGCCGAGGATCACGTGACATAAGGTACCACGTGATGGCCATGTACTTGGTGGCCCGAGGCCAATGTTGCCGGACGGAGCCGAAGTTTCGGTTTCGATTTCCGCTCGTGTTTAAAATTAGATTTAAAAATATATATCCCATTTTTCGCGAAGCAAACGACGTAGTGTCTTTTACCAGGGCTTTTTAATTCGAAATCACTCATTATCTCGAAATCTTCGGAATTGAACGGAGTTTCCCTTTAAACGCGGATACGCACAAAAGCTCGATTTCGCGGACAGATAAGTCGCATGGTCGAGGCATGCGAGTTAGCTTAAAATTACTCTCGGTGGAACAATTCTGTAGTCATCGCCGCTTTCCTTAGATGATCAAAACCGGAGCCCATAGTTTCGGTTTTGAACGAAATCTCCGAAACGAAAGTTTGACATGAAAAGAAAAAACACTGGGAAAACAAACGCTCTGCAAGTTTACGTGCACCGGCTACACTTAACCGTCTCAGTACCTATAAAATTGGGCATTAAACAAAAGAAAATCTGCTAAATTGAATGCACCACCTGTTCAGACGGCCCAGCCGAGCCGACGTGACCTGGACTCAGCCGCCAGGTTTGTTTGGTGGTGGCGCCCCCTATAGGTCACTGGAGTCGCGAATAGAGTTGCGCAAGTATTAGAAACTTTCAGCTATCCACAAATAGTGTTTGTTATTCCATTCCCTTTTAGAATATTAGAAAATTATGAGTGATGACTTCAAAATTCCCCGATTTCTCGAGTCAAGCTCCACAGCTTCGCATCGGCGCTCTCGTGTCGAGCTTCCCCCACTTAGCACTGGCACGCATGCATACATTTTCACTGTTTTTTACGGGCGTGCTCGGAAGAATGAGTGACATCGCACAGCATCTCGGTTGGCTCAATGGGCTCAGAACTTTGGCTCCCTGTTTTAATTCCAAACTTACGCGGTTACCAGTATAGTTCGACCCCTAATTTGAAACAACAGTGCCAGTGAAAATATCAACCTGCGTTATTTTTCTGCTTGCCACGTTACAGTGCGTTTTACCCAGCTCATCTTATCGGGACATTTTCTTTTTAAATGCAGGTATGAAAAATGTTTCTTGCGCAATAGAACTTCTTCTTGCGCACCATGCATATGCAAGTCTGCTCTGCCTCGTGCCATATTCAAAGTGCAACATGAGGGGCGAATTCGTCAACTGGCGGTCGGGAGTCGGCCTTTAGATTTAGGGCCCGTTCACTTTCGCCTTAGCCGTATCACTAGCAGAGAAATCAGTAGAGAAACCTCTCGGAACGGTGGAAGCACGGTAGACGACGACGGGTACGCTAGATGACACTTCGTTTTGCCCAATTCAAAGAGAAGGCAGTGAAGATGGACAGGAGCAAAGGGGGCACCTCGGTGATCTTGCGCTGGCACTCCTGCAGCGGAAAGAACAGGTCCCGGTCCACGGTGAGCAGCAGCAGGCAGGCTGGGCAGCCCTGTGCCAGGTATGACACGTGCGCGTGGAGGAAGCCACTGCAACGCAAGATACCCCCGTCAATCTGTCGGGCCCCAGACACTCTGGCTCAGCAGCGACATCTGGTGCAATCCATTATTTTAAAATAACCGGCGCCATTTGGTTGAAAATGGTGTTCGAGGATTTCCCAGATGAAACAATGCACGCATTAGGAAGGAGAGGGAAGAAGCATCTTAGAATGAACTTGGGAGTAAAAGATGAACCACAATAGGCACAAAAGGAACTTTGGGGGAATCTGGGTCATCGGAGCTCAATAGAGCCAGCAGGGCTCACTATTTCCCTTAGTCGAGGGAGTGCCCATACTTGCTTGAGCACATGTTCACATATTTTTAGAGCAGGACTTTCTGCAATATCTTAAAATGGTCCATTGTGGATCTTCCAGGGTTTCTAGCAACTTATTATTGTGAAATTCCCTGACTTTTCCAGGTTTTCCCTGACAATTTCAGTTGAAATTTCCTGACCAGTGTAGAGGCAATTAAATATATAACACCATTACTACACAAGGCATTGAGTATTGAGTACTGTGAGGATCATTTTACACGGGCTTAATCCAACTTACATATTCCGAAATATTCGGGTTTGTCCTGTCCGGAATAAACGAGCGCTCTCTTGCCGCCAACATCATCAGTGAAAAGGCCACTTCCAGAAACTTGATGAAAACACGACGCTCAACCACACACTTCAAAAACCGAATGGCAGCATGGCCGCCAGATGCACACTTTCGGATACTTTCGGCTTAAGGCTTGGATTAAATTGGGGTCTGCGGCCTTTTTATTTGTTACTACATCTAGTAGCTCTAATTAAATCTAGCCTAGTGTTGCGCCCTCAATCCAATCCAATCCAATCCGATGCTTGGACTGGATTTGTCGACTGTTACTTTTGCATCACGTGGCACACTTTACATCGGGTGAGCAAAGCCTACACTCCACTCCAACCAGAATTGTTTGCCTATTCTTCTGCCGCTAAGTCCTCGAGTCTTTGCTCAGGGCACTTGATGGCGTTTTTGGCTCATTTTCCCTGACTGGGCTCACTTTTTGACAATATCCCTGACCATTCCCCGATTTTTCTCAGTAACTAAAATTCCCCCGACAATTCCCAGTTTTCCCGATTTTCCCGGTCGCTAGACACCCTGATCTTCCTATTTGGGTCAAATCAAAGTTTGTCCGCAGACATATTTTCTAAAAATCTGCAGCTGTGCTACTATTTGCAGATCAAACCATCCTATGCAGAGCTGTATTGTCGCCGGCCCTTTTTAATGTTCGCCTTCCCGGTACGGGTCGTCATGCCGCTGCAACTTTTTGCAGCGTCGTCTCGTCGTCCTCTCCTACCCGGTGTTTCTTGCGGGAGCGTCGCGTGGGGCGACTCGCAACATGTTGGCACGCAATATGAGTGCAAACACGTTGCGACGAGTGCGAACACGCAGCTGGTTGGCGGTGCAAGTGTCTGGCGCACGGCCAACTCTGCTGCTCTCCATACGCATGTGAAACCACACCTCAGGCTTCGGACACCAAGATATCCGAGTTAACTTCCGCAACAGTGCTGTTCTGCATTCGAACTGGGTGACAAATACTGATTGCCCGAAGACGAGAAAATGTCGGTTTATAGTATATCCCCCCGTTTTTTATGCTTCAGTACGTAGGAAATGAGCCCTAATGCAAGTTCATAGACAATCGCGATATGAGTGACAGACTTATGGAAAGAAAAGAAAATATAGTTGATTATTTTATGCCACAAATAACCATTTTTTATATTTATTTTTATATATTAACTCGTTAGCCACCTACCATAGAGTTCCGAAAGAATGCCTACCCAAAATGAAGAGATAAATGGTAAAAAACAAGGGGTGGACTATCTTTGGGGATGCCACAACAAAACTTTATTAAAAATGAATGATCAACACCCTGGTGCCGGCCACAAAACACATGACATGGGAACTGATACCGCAGATCGCGGACACCGCAAATTCGCACTTCACGATGCAGTAAACACGCGGGAATTCGCTATGAAGTCCCGCGTCACGTGAAAGAATACCACAGGTTACGGACGCAGCAGACTCGCGTTTTACAGTGCGAAGGACCCGCGAAAACCCGCCGAGAACTCTCATCTCACGGGAACGAATACCGCAAATCGTGGATGCAGCAGATTCAAGTTTTGTGGTGCAATAAACACGTGGGAACTCGCTACAAACTTGCCTGTAATGAGGGAACAAATATTGCGAGCGCAGATCATGGACAAAAACGTGGGAATCCGCTAGAAAGTTGTATAATTCAGGAGCGAATACTGCAGATTGCAAACGCAGCAGAATCACATTTAAGATGCAATATACACGCGGGACCAATTCACATAGAATCAAGATCGAAAAAAATTGCGGGAATCCACTACAAACTTTATGTCACGGGAACGGATAATGCAGATTGTGGACGCACCAGATTAGCATTTCATGGTTTAAAGTACAGACGGGAACAACTCGCAGGTTATATGAGTCGATATCACGCAAGCAGATTGCGGACAAAAACACGGGAACCCGCTACGAACTCGCTTGTTAGACGTGCATCAACTGCACGGTTGATGCAATTCCCGTCAGACGTCGCTAGACGTCCAACAAAAATCGGGAGGGTGGGCGATGTTTTAGAATTTTTATGTTACAGATAATTAGCCAGAAAAACAGGGTGGGCGATCTCTCAAGGGCGGGCGTTCTCTCGGAACTTTACGGGATAGAGTGGCCAAGACAGTCACAACCACGCAGTGGTGTAACTTAAAATATAACAAACAAGGTAACAACAAAAAACATAGAGAAAAATGCCAGTAAATAAAAAAACTGGCATAGCACTCCCAATACAAACAATGTGACAAGAAAAAAAAAAAAACAAAAAAAAAAAAAACACCTGAGTGCTGTTTAGTAAAACAACATTAAAACAATATCTAGGGTTAATGGTGGAACTTTGTAGAATGTGGATGTAATGGATGCAATTTCTTCTAACACATGTCCTCGGTGATAAGTGAGTGTATGAAGGAAGTATGGTAAGCATGTCGAGGGAGTCTATGTTCGCAAGCTCACCAGGAAGTATAAAGTCTGTGTAAGCAATACCTACAAGTAATCAATTGCCATTTGCTTAAGCTTAACAAGAAAGCTAAAACAACCAAAATTTGAAAATTAGAGGTGAAAGAGGCCAAAAGTTCTTGAATCGCAGCTCAATCCAAATGATTTTTCCCCCCCCAACTTTCAATACTACTAGAAAGCCCAGAAACAGAGATGCCCGTGGGAGTCCACTATGTTCCTATTGGGTGCAGTATAGTAAAGAGAAACAAATCCCACATAAATCACCAGGTTATGTGCCATTTGCTGGTTCTCAGATTATATGACGCTCGCTCGTGACAATGTTATCGTAGAAATGGACTCGTAAAACGCATTCTGCGTTAAAATCATTTGGATTGTCGTGCGGATGCCCCTCGCAGGACACGCCATACTGCCCACCTGGGGTCAAACTTGGGCAGGCAGACGGGGGTCCAGGCCTCTGCAGTCTTGAAGGACTCCGAGGCATGCACCAAGTTGAAGAGCAGGTGCAGGTCCATGTGGTGCAGCTGGTACTTGCGCATGCCCACCAGGGCCACCAGCTGGTTCTCCGCCACCAGGATGCCAAACACCAGCTTCTGCATTGGTGCGTAGACAGCACGCACGCACACGCTTGACACGGGGCTCAAACCGACGACTTCCTCAGGTCGCGAAAGTAGACACTTGGACTAAGATAAAGAAGGCTGGAAAAGATCCGCCCCGTGTTCGCACACAGTGTGCGCTCGAGAGAAAACAGTGCTTGACGACTCGTTGTATTAGAGTACAATGTGCCACCTGGGCAGGATTCGTTGTCACCGGATGTGGACACGACTAGGTCGGCCCGGTTATGGAACTGCTCGTGGATGCCGCTTCCACGTGCAATACCCCCGCTCTCCTCAAACGTTTGCCTCCTGCCGTTCCAAGCGCGACAGTTAGGGACATGGCTTTTGCGGTAAGTACACTTGGCTCCGCAGCCTCTAGATGGCGCCTGAAACGACGAGCGGTGGTCTTGGGGTGAGAGAGGGGGTCCGCCCCTCTGCACTGGTAACGCTACCCGATGTCAAGCAGGTTCCACCGCGTCGATGCAAAGGTGGGGGAGAGGTACCTTGTGCTTGGAGCACTGCCGCACCATGGTCTGGGTGATGGTCTCCCTGACGGAAGGGGCCAGGGGCAGGCAGCGCACGGCGCCCAGCAGGAAGCTGGGCTCCTCGTCCATGAGGTCACACAGGGAATCCAGGAAGCGCTCCGAGCCGGCCAGCAGACGACGCAGGTCGAAGTTGCCCCGCTGCTCAAACACCCGGCTCAGCTGGCTGCCCGTCACCACCGACAGGATCTGTACGTGCATGGCAGGGGAGAAATGCAGTTATCTGTTGTAAGAAAGTTTGTGATAAAATAAGTTGTAATAAAATGCACAAAATACTTTCCATCTTTTTTTTTCTTTGAGAGCTATATCTAATATGCATGTGTGTACTTGGTATTGCTTATGCCATTTAGCTCTTCAAAATAATATTTACTGTAATGTTGTAGACTGACCGTATTGAACTGCTGATATGTTTTGTACACCCGCAGGCGATATGAAGGTGAACGCCGGACCGTCGACTGGTCCGTGCTATCAGCACCATGACGCAGCTGCCATGGCGGCGCGCTTCACCGAGAGCAAGTGCCTGGATCGAGCGCTGTTCTCAGCTCTGCTGCTACTCCCTGCTGAAAGCGTGGAAGTGGGTTTCGATTTCGGCATCGCTTTTTGTGGTCGCCACGCCCACGTCATTGTCAGCAAATGATATGCACACTGCACGTGACCTAGAGCAGACATTGTTTGGCATGGTTTATACGTGACTCAACTGCTTTCTTCATTCATGAGCGATCGCTAATAACTGCAACAAATGTGAAATGGGCTGTGATTCAGCAATAAATATTGCCGCCCGCAGGGCCGAGCAAGCAATGCTCAGTCACGGGCTTCTAGAAGATTTGCGTTCATTCTCGCACCAGGCGCAACTTTCCCCCTGCTTCCTTCTTCTCGAAAGTGCCAGGTCATCCTTGCCCGAGAGCACGATGCTCAAACTTTCTTTGCCGAACTTTCGAGATAGTGACGCACTGTAGGTAAGCAGCTGCCTGCGACCTTGTCTAGTCAGTCTCGCTCTCGCTTTCTATTACGCCGCCTACTTTTCTGCTGCCTCGACTTTCTTTCTTTGCATATTTTGTTTGGCACAAGTTCGCCTATTAAACCTTTATTTTTCAGTTCACTGTTCTTCGAGCGCTTCAACAGAAATGCCGCCTCGAGTTCCAAGGGATGAGCGTGTCCAGATCGTTGTCCTTGCTCAGGAAGGACTTTCACAGCGGGAAATATCGCGCAGAGTTGGAAGGCCCATCAAAACCGTCCAAAGGATTATTGCAGCATTTCGTGATGACGATGGACGCTTGGACGATGCCCCCCACCGTCGCCGTCCCCACGCAACTACAGCAACAGGGGACCGTCACATCCTCGAGGCAGCCTTGGGCGACCCTTTCCGCGCTGCCAGGGATATCAAGGACGCACTGGAACTCGAGATCAGTGACACTACTGTTCGGAGACGCCTCTACGATGCTGGCATACACAGCCGTGTAGCTTGCCAGTCGCCGCTGCTGATGGAAAGGCACAAGTAGCTGCGGCTTGACTTCGCCCATTCTCTTCAGAATTGGACTGTGGAGGACTGGACCCACGTCACCTTCAGCGATGAGTCTACCGTACGTTCTGCACCCAGTTAGACGGGCAGAGGCGAGTTTGGAGGCCTGACAACTTCTGGTAAGCTTTATCAGACCTTTAAGCTAATAGACTGTATAGATTTATCTTTCCCTTCGCAACGTTCAAGGCCATTAGTGACCAAGACTTTCTGAGGAATCATCAGTGGTCAGCTATAAGCTTCCCGTCCGCCGCTAAAACCTGAAATCTACAAACAAATATAAGCCTTACCTGAAGTAATGATAGCCAAGTTCAGCGGTGACTAAAAGAGACAACAATGTTCCATTGCCTTGCAGATACAACTATCACTTTATCCAGGAAGTGGCCGCCAGTGGTCGTAGGTGCGTGAATGTCTGGGGTGCCATGTCCTGCCAAGGACTTGGCCCCATCTTCAAGATCGACGGGCGCCTGACGTCGGAAGTTTACTCTGACATAGTTGACCATGTCTTGATCCCCTACGTCCTAAATGGGGTCTTTCCGGATGAGGACTTTTGGTTTTGTAGGAACCCAAGTCTTGGCACTACATATTTATGTACATTATTTACAAGGATAAACGGGTCAGTGATGTTCACTGCTTGCCGGAACGGTCGAGCGCGCGGCTTGAGAGCCCGTTGATCTCTTGTGTCCCGAGCTCCTTCCTTCTCCCTTTCTTCTTTTTCATCTGTGGGCGGTCAATGTATGCCAATGCCCACAAATACTCACCTTCCCCTCCCTTCGCTGCGCCGCAACAGAAGAAGATAGACATTTATTTGTGCTAGTCCCATATGTGAGTAGGTGCTAAACACCACGAAACTTGTCGAGGTCCTTTTCGTTTGCGCTGTATCACGCTCGTGGCGCGAGCGAGGGCAGGCGCAGACGTTTTGGCTCCTAAGTGTCTGGAGCCATATCGGTTGACTTGAAATGGCGCGCAGGGCTCGTGGCGGTTGAAGTTGTAGGGCAGTATATTAGTTCGCATCGAATGACTTCGGGGGAATTGACTTGAAGGGAGGCAGCAGGGGTCAGTGGTTGGGCGAGCGGTGAGGATATGAGGATGGGCAGCGTCGTTTGCATTAGGAAGAAATTCTAGGTGAGCTGGCTTCAGACGGTCAACAGAAACGGTTTCTTGCCGTCCATTGTAGTCGATGGTAAAAGTTTTAGCTGCCCTGGAAAGTACTTTGTGAGGCCCAGAGTACGGTGGTTGCAGGGACCTCTTGGTTCCGTCTCTTCGCAGAAATATGTGACTGCAGTTGTCGAGGTCGTTCGAGACGTAAACTGCAGTTCGATCTTGTGTGCGTGGGAGCGTGGGCCGGAGGTTTTTCATTATCGTTCGAAGCTGGTTTGTGTATGTCATGGGATCGGGAGCTGGTTCTTGTAAGGCGGATGCAAAAAATTCGCCTGGTAGGCGAAGAGTTGAACCATATACCAGCTCGGCTGGGCTGTAGCCAAGGTCCTTCTTCAAAGCTGCTCGTAATCCGAGAAGTACGATGGGCAAGCTTGTATGCCATCTGTTTGGTTCAGGTTGCGCCATTAGGGCCGCTTTAAGTGAACGATGGAAGCGTTCGACGAGGCCGTTTGCCATGGGGTGGTAAGCTGTTGTTCGAATGCGGCTTGTTCCTAAAAGTGAGAGTAGTTGGTGGAAAAGTGCAGACTCAAACTGACGTCCCCGGTCGGTTGTGATAGTGGATGGGACGCCGAATCGGGAAATCCAGCCCTGGATGAAGGTGCGAGCCACGGTGTCCGCTTGGATGTCTTGGATTGGAAGTGCCTCCGGCCAACGGGTAAACCTGTCGACGCAGGTAAGGAGGTAGCGGAACCCCTCACATGGTGGGAGGGGTCCCACAATGTCGATGTGGACGTGGTCGAAACGTTCTGTGGTAGTTGGGAATGACTGAAATGGCGCGTAAGTATGACGCTGGACCTTCGACTTCTGGCATTCGATGCAGGTTCTGGTCCAGCCGCGTACGTCTGTGTTGATTCCGGGCCAGAGAAATCGCTCAGTTATAATTTTTTGTGTAGCCCGAATGCCAGGGTGGGAAAGGCCGTGCATGGAGTCAAAGACTTGTCTGCGGAAGTCGGTGGGTATGAAGGGTCGTTGTGTGCCTGTTGACAGGTCGCAGACTATTTTCTTGGTAGACGTAGGTAAGATAATCTCATCGAATATGAGTCGACCAGGGAATTGACGCATCTGTTGAAGCTCCTTGTCCCGTTGTTGCGCTGAGCTAATGACATCAAAATCGACAGCGGGCGGAAAGCTCAGTCCGCCAGAAAACGAAGCACACCGGGACAACGCGTCGGCTACAGGATTATCGACGCCTTTCACGTGACGGATGTTGGTTGTAAACTCGGCGATGTAAGCCAAGTGCCTTGTTTCGCGAGGTGAATATGTGTCCCTGCCACCTTGCAAGGCGTATGTGAGAGGTTTGTGGTCCGTAAGTACATAGAACTGCGTGCCTTGTAGAAAATTTCGAAAATGCCTTATAGCAGTGTAGATCGCCAGCAGCTCGCGCCCGAAGGTGCTGTAGCGTTGTTCCGCTGATGTGAGCGTTCTCGAAAAGAAAGCAATAGGCTTCCAGATTCCCTCTATCAACTGCTGTAGAACGGCACCTACTGCAACTTCAGAGGCGTCGACCATAATGTTCGTTTTTGTGTCGTGTTGAGGATGTGAAAGAAGTGTAGCGTTTGCCAGTTCACCCTTAATTCGGCTGAAAGTCTGCTCTGCAGTCGAAGTCCATTCTAAGGGGGTTGACGGGGGCTTGCTCCCTTTTAGGAGTGTGGTCAGCGGTGACAGGACTGCGGCGCACTGGGGAACAAATCTTCTATAAAAGTTGACAAGCCCAAGGAATTCCCGGAGTTGGCGAATGGTTTTAGGTATTGGGAAATTGTTGATAGCTTCCACCTTTTGTGTGAGAGGTCGTATGCCATGTTGGTTAACTTCGTGGCCCAGAAATTCGAGTGTTGTTGCTGCCAGCTTGCATTTTCCTCGGTTAATATTGACTCCATATTCGGCGAGGCGCTGGAACAGCTGCCGCAGGTGTTGGACGTGTTGGGTCTCATCCTGGCTGAAAACTAGTAGATCGTCGACGTATGCGAAGCAGAAAGGCAAGCCTCGAAGGACGGTGTCAATGAACCGCTGAAAGGTTTGGGCTGCATTTCTGAGTCCGAACGGCATCCGGAGAAACTCGAAAAGGCCGAAAGGTGTTGTAACGGCCGTCTTGGGAACGTCTGCCGGCTCCACAGGTATCTGATGGTAGGCCTTGACGAGATCTATTTTCGAAAAAATAGTGGAGCCGCGAAGAGAGAGCGAAAAGTCGTGAATATGTGGTATTGGATATCTGTCCGGAACAGTGGCGTTGTTAAGGGCGCGATAGTCTCCGCAAGGGCGCCAGTCTCCAGGTTCTTTCTTAGGCACCATATGGAGGGGCGAGGCCCATGGACTCGAGGATGGACGGATGATGCCCAATTCAAGCATATGCTCGAATTCGGCCCTGGCAATCTTGAGACGTTCTGGAGCCAGCCTTCGTGGTCGAGAATAGGTGGGAGCACCCGTGGTAACAATATGATGCGTCACATCGTGTGGTACCGGTTTCGAAAAATTATTAGGACACGTCAGACTCTTGTATTCATTAAGAAGTCTA